CTCGGGCCACGTGCGGCCAGGTGCTAAGGTCGGCTTGGAACTCGCAAGTATCAACTGCATCGATGGCTTTAAAAAGCTTGAAACCATGGCTGTAAACCAAGCTTTAAACATGGTTATCTGGGCAAATTATAATTGCGGTTTGGGAAACATGCACAGAGTACCACTGCACCCCCACTAAGGTCTTTTTAAAGTTTTCACAGTCGTTGAGACGTCCTCCGACTGTTGCAACTTGGCTCAAGGGCCAATCAACTGACTGGCTCAATTTACCGAGCCCAACTTGGAGTGAAAAGGTGCACTTGCATCTGCCTCTTGGTGGGGACCTCCGGGAAGGGTCTCGGTCATAGTCTGAAACCCGTGGGTTATGAGCCCAACCCCAACGCTGCCTTGAAGCAATGTCGAGCAGCGACTTCACTCAGCGTCGTCGACAAGAACGCCAAGTTCAAGCGGCTGCTCATGCTGAAGAAGTACAACATGGGACCCATGGACATGGAAAAGAAGAACGCGCGGAAACGGCAGACCAAATGCTGGACCGGCTTCTGGAGGAGATGGACGCACCTGGACAAGCACATGGGGAAAGAACAGGGACAAGATCATCAGACTCAACCCGAAGATCACTGATGGAAGGGGAAGTTGGAGAAAGTGTGATGGCACTGACCGGTGCTGGGGGAAGTGGAGCCCTAGTGCAGGTTGCGGCGGTCCGGGCTGGAGCGGGCGAACGAATCGCCCAGAATCCGGCTGTTGCGGAAGAAGTCGCAAGACCAGTGTCCTTACCACCTGAAGAACCTCCTGGACTTGAAGTGGTACGAGGAAATGGGAGTGGCGGTCTGTTGTCTGGTTTGACCCCAGGTGTGAATAGTCTAACTCTTTCGGGAGCGCCTATGACACAAACACCAGTAGTTGCCCGGATGTCTGAGGGATTTCGTGAACCACCTGTTGTGGGTAATCGAGAAGAAGGACAGGGTGGAAAACACCAAAGCTCAACTGAAGTGGGTGGAGGTGCGGCTGCTGTTGTGGAAACCGTTGCTCTTTTGGAGCGACCGGGACGTTCACCTGTTGAGTCTCCTGAAGATGCACGCGTCAAACAATCGGTGCCAGCGGCACCAACAGGCTCACCTGTGATCTACCAGCCAGCGGGAGCACCTGTGGTGTATACCGCAACTGGTGGAACACAGGGTTCGCAAGTAGCTGGGATGTCCCAGCAATCCATGTGTGCTGGAGTGCCACCTACGGGAATGGTGCCTCAGTGGGGAACGGCGGTTGTGGATCCTGGGATTGTAACCGGGGTCATGGCTGCAGAGGAAACGAATCCATGGAGTGCTGCCAAGCGAGTGGAAGCTCTAATGAGCAGTCCACAAACTCCAGTGAAAGAGCTGACTTATCCCATAGTGTCGCAAGACCTGATTGATCAGGCGGACGCGAGGGAGAAGGAAAAGTATGAGGAGTTGAAACAGCAAATGATGGAATTCTTTCAACGGGGCAAGACCGAGATCCAACAAGATCGAGAAAATTGGTTAGCCACGCGGGAAGAGAAACGTGCCCTGGAACGGGTCCGAGAAGCCGGAGGAGGTCACAAGGGCTCTCAGTCAAGTGGGGGGTCTTATCAAACCGCCTCGCCGGAGCTGAAGAATGTCGAGCAGGGTTTTCCTGTGGGGCCACCTCAAGGTGTTCCACCCCAGGTACAACATGTGCAAGATCAACCAGTTCCAGGAGTTCAACATCACCATGATCAAGATCTTCAAATGCAGGCGGGAGGTCAGTTGTGGAATGTTCCTCCTGCGCCCAAGGTCGAACAAGGTTTTCGGCCGATGGATGTGTACATGAATCAAGGGTGGCTAATTGGAATACCACCGGGAGGTATGCCGCAGAGAGCGGCGTCAAGACCACCGATGGGAGTTCCTTGCATGGGAGCCACGGAAAACACAAAACACTTTTTCATCGGTGACCAACCTAATCAATGGTATAATCCTCAAGTCCATGTTGGAGGAGCACCTGCAGGACAAGATCATCGACCTCAAGGGGTTTTTGCATTTCCGGGAGGAAACACCGGACCTATGGGTGGTTATGGTTGGCCAGGGGGTCCACCGCCAGGGCAGTATGGAAATCCCGGACAAGCACCTGGTCCGCCAGGTGGTCATCAGGGAAATCCCGGTCTCCCAGGTGGTCATCAAGGAAATCCAGGACAAGCTGCACCGCCACAACAACAACAAGCTGTAGTCCAAGCAGGACCTCAGGCAGGGGGAGAAGTACCAGGCGAAACGCTAAGATCGGTCGAATTGCCGAAGCTGGACAGGAATGCAACATCTTTGGACTTTGGAGACTGGCTGACAGTTGCCCAACAGATGATTGGGGATGTGAGCTACACCTCAGAGCAATGGTGGGAAGTAGTGATGACTGCTGTTGAACAAGCATACCACCACTGGTTGCAAGCGGATCCACTCATGAGGCTCCGGATGGCGCCTGTGATACCTGACATGGCCCGTAGGTGGCCTCGCACAGAGAAACGGGTGGTGGGTATGCTGCTTCAAGCCGTCCCCAAGGACATCTACGAGGACCTTGTGGCGAACAGACACATGTCAGCGGGTCAAGTCATGTTCAAGCTGTACACCGTCTTCCAACCTGGGGGACAAGTGGAAAGAACTGCCCTGCTGCAAATGTTGGTGGACTGGAAATGTCCATCTAATAATGCTGCAGAGATGGTCAACTCCATCCGGAAGTGGAGAAGATGGGTGGTTCGTGCCGAAGAACTTCAATTGGTTTTGCCCGATCCTCTGGTTTTGGCCGGAGTGGTCGCAAAAATGAGTGATGCCTTGGCCAGGTTGGGGGGAGCTCAAGCTGCCTACCGGTTGTCTTCGGTGAGACAGCATTTGGGCATAGATCTCCGGCCGGGAATGCAAGAGATCCGAACGTTTTCGGAACTTCTTCAAGCGGAGGCTAGTGAAATGGCTCTCCGTCAACCGGGGAACATAACACAGGGCCCAGCGGCTAAACCCAATAATGTGGTAGGGGTGAAGTCAATGAGTGGGCCGGATTCATCTGGAAACCCACCAAAGGGCGCTTCAAAGGGAAAACCAGAAGACGCAGCAGGTTCTTCCACCGGAAGGAGGGGAGAAAAGCCCGAGCTGCCGATTAACGCGGCTAATGTGGTCCACAAGACTGCGTGCATCAACTGGCTGACAGATAAGGGATGCCAATATGCTGACCGGTGCCGATTCACGCACACTGTCCTGGACTCCAAAGATGGCCGATGTTTCAACTGTTCTGGAAGGGGACACTCCCGACGTGATTGTCCGGCGGGAAAACGAAGTGAGTCACGAGGTCCACAAGGTGGATCCGAGGAACCAAAGGTGGCCAAAACCACAAGAATCCGCTCAAGATCTCAAGAGAGGAAAAATGGTCCTGGAAAAGAGGGAGGTGCTGCTCAAGAACATTCTGAACCTACCGTGAAGATCAATCCGATGAAGGAGTCCACGGTCACTATAACCCCTGTACCAGAGGAGGCCAACAAGGTTGTGGGAGAAGTGACCAACCTTTTGAAGGGTCTCAATGGACCGGTCTTGAAATCGGTGGGGCATGGTGGGGATCATCTCGAAGTTGAATTTGATGATGGAACAGGTTTATTGGATGGTGGGGCGACACACCCCTTGAGACAGGGATCAACCGAGGAGATCAAGAACGCGGTGCAGGTCACTGTGGAACTCGCACATGGAGCTGCTCAGCTCTATCAAAATCCTGTGAATGGAACCCTCTTGTCGGAGGGACCGGTGGAACCAATTGTACCTCTTCGAGGTTTGGTGGAATTGGGATACACCATCACTTGGTCCCGTGCAGGATGTGTTGTGAAGCATCCACGACTGGGAAACATAGAATGTTGGTTAAGGTCTGGGTGTCCAGTGGTTCGAAAGGACCACGCTCTGGCTCTGATCACTGAGATTGAGCACATGGAAATGGAAAAGAGGACCAACCATCGGCTCACCTTGGAAGAGCCCACGGAGAAGACCAAGAAGTGGTGGGGATCACGATTTCCGGAAACACCGGACAGAATTTGGAATTACATGCGGGGTCAAGATGAAGAAGATCCGCAAATGAACCATGATTTACCATGGAACCGGCACAAAAGAAGGAGGCTGCTCACCTCAAAAGGGGTTATAGTCCACCTTTTTGCTGGAGAAAGGGCGAAGGAATGGCGAAAGAATCCCATCAATGGGATTGAAGTCATCACTTTGGATATCAATGAAGGTCGAAATCAAGATATACACAATCCGGGAACATGGAGTTTCCTTTGGAAACTTGCAAGCCTGGGAAAACTTCTTGCTATCATCGGGGGACCTCCCTGTCGGACGGTCAGCCGATTGAGGCAGAAACAACCGGGACCAAGACCATTGCGTGGACGTTTCCATGACCGGTATGGTCTACCAGGATTGACAGACCGGGAGAAGAACTTGGCTGATTCAGATGCAGCACTGCTGCTGAAACAAATTGGCCTGTTCATAAGGTCTGAAGAATGCCGCGAGCGTCATCGTGTGAGAACCGCTTTCCTCTTGGAGAGCCCACAGGATCCGTTGACGTATGTTCCACAAGCTCGCGAAGAAGAAAGTCCAAGCTTTTGGGCATGGCCGGAGTTAATGCAGCTGCTCCGCTACCAAGGAATGGGTTTGGTATCCTTTGATCAAGGGTGCTTTGGGCACTCACGACGGAAACCGACCACGTGCCTCACAAACCTGGAGGACATGAGAGACTTGGAAGATCAACGCAGCACCAAGCACTCCGAGGCCCTGCCAAAGGACATCAAAGACCGTTGCCATTTGTCGTCCACCTGGGCGGTATGGGCACCGGGATTAAGGGCTGCCATCCGAGAAGCGCTTCACCGACATCTCAAACGGGAAGGCGATGAAACTGCGGGTGAAGAGCCACACTTGGCCAAGATGACGTCAGAGGAAGCCTGGGAAGCCCATATTCGTCAAGGCCATCGACCATATAGAAGGGATTGTAGGACTTGTGTT